GTTGTTGTTGTAATCCTCCAAAGGTGGCAGGAAAAGTGAAGAGTGCTTCGACATGGAATTTCAGAATAGGATGCGACAGGGAATCAATATAAAAGAGATACAATCAGGATGCGGAGCTTGCGATGGGTGGGACGTGTCCAGGATGGCGGAGGGCAGGTCACTAAGACCGGCGCTGCAGTAGCACCCGGAGGTGAGCGGCAAAAGGGGAAGACCTGAAGCCAGGCGGCGTTAAACAATGAATCCTCAGAGGTTGGGTGTCGACTGCGTGACAGTTGCCGGATCAGGCAGGAGGAAGGAAGTGATGGCAATGTGTGATGGTACCCAACATCAGTATTGGCCCGTGGGTGATATCTGGATGTTGATCGCTATATGCAAGGGTGGTCATTGCGAATAACGCCGATTCTTCTTCGGCCCATGCCACGTGCATCAAATCTCGCGCGAAAGGATCGAAGCTATCGTTCCATTTGTATACGCTGTAAGTAATGAGTCCAGGGGTGCAGCGGTTTGCGTAGTGGTTAGTGCGCTGTGCTCTGAACCCGGCGATCAGGGTTCAAATTTCCAGCCACGAGTGATATCCAAAACGGTCGTGGGTGTCTACCCGCGATCATCAACCTGCACTGATCGGCGTGGTGAAGTATGGTCCAACATACCCCAGTGACTGCCACAGTTGGTTCAAAGGCCTTCATCCATATTAATATTGATTATATATAATCAATTATATATAATATTGATTATATATAATCAATATTAATATTAAGTTGTATTATTATTATTGAACTGAAAGGCATAAACTCTACTCGAACACAAACTTTTAAGGCATCGCGGGGAAAGACGCTGAACCAAGTTAACCTCTGAGCGGCTTTTTATAATAATATACTAATAACAATAATTACCATTTTTAAAACAATTATGGATCATCGCTTCAGCTCGCCAATAACCGCAGTGTAAATGAAAGAAAAAAATTCTTGCGAATTATGACAATTCTGGCAAATCGTCTAATTCGGGACGGGGGGGGGGGGGGGCTGGTGGTGCCGTGCGGGAGGGCGGTGCGGCTTGTTAGGGGGGTGGGGAGCGCCGTGGGGGGGTGGTGGTGGGGTGGGGGTGGTGGGGGTGGTGAATAGGGGGTGGTGGGGTGGGGGTGGTGTGGGGGTGGTGGGGTGGAGTGGGGTGTGGTGTGGTGGGGGCGGGGTGGGGGTGGTGGGTGGGGGTGGTGGGGTGAAGGTGGTGTGGGGGTGGTGGGTGGGGGCGGGGTGGGGGTGGTGGGTGGGGGTGGTGGGGAGGTGTGGGGGTGGTGGGATGGGGGTGTGGTGGGGTGGGGTGGTGTGGGGGTGGTGGGGTGGGGTGTGGTGTGGTGGGTGGGGGTGGTGGGGTGAAGGTGGTGTGGGGGTGGTGGGTGGGGGCGGGGTGGGGGTGGTGGGTGGGGGTGGTGGGGAGGTGTGGGGGTGGTGGGATGGGGGTGTGGTGGGGTGTGGGCGGGGTGGGGGTGGTGGGTTGGGGGTTGTGGGGTGGGGGTGGGGGTGGTGGGGTGGGGGCGGGGTGGGTGGGGTAGTGGGGTGTGGGCGGGGTGGGGGTGGTGGGTTGGGGGTTGTGGGGTGGGGGTGGGGGTGGTGGGGTGGGGGCGGGGTGGGTGGGGTAGTGGGGTGGGGGCGGGGTGGGTGGTGACCCGTTCCACCCGGCCGTGTCCCCGTGACGCACGGACGACTGTTGCGAGACCTCCCCCCGCGCACCGCAGAGACAGCGGTGAGATGCGCGCATCGTCGTTTTTTGGCTTTCGCGAGCTCAGGAACGGCGTGCCATTGCACGCGGTTTAGCGACAGCCACGCGAGTGAGGTAGCAGCAGCAGCAGCGACGGCCACCCAGTCTGACTTGACCTGCGTCTGTGAATGTTCAGACGTCGACGGCCGTAGCCAGCGGATTCCTCCAGCACAAATAAATATTCTGATTCTGAACAGTTTACATCACTCGTCTCGTGTTCGCGATCCCTGACCACCCCGCCCACGTAAGGGAGAGGATCGCTGGCGTAGCGCTAGGAATGCAGGCAAAAGCTTCGGGCCCCAAGTAACCCAAGGGGTTTCCAGATGTATTTAAAAAAAACTAATAAAATAAGGTGCACGGAATATCAGTTCGAACTCAGATCCTTGTGGAAATAAATACATACAGAAATATCATCATTCTAATGGCACACTTAAAAATAATTGGAATGAATCAATAGCCTTTGTTATTTCACACGTCGGTATAATTGCCAATAGCCGCAGATGATGATATCAGCCACTTCGCTGAGCATTCATGTTGCGTGTCGTCATTTGAAGATGCTCTGTGTCCATGTTTTTGTTTGTTGCGGTTGCACCCGAGTCAAGAGCCACATGGCTCACAGGGCTATACCTAATAAATAAACTTGAAACTTGAAACGCAAGTTAATGTAAGTAGTGTTTTTTTTTCCACGCAGGCTGTTTGTTTGTCACATGACGCACCCTAAAAACGAATTCATGCTTAGGGCCGGCCCCCCAATGAGCTGTTACCACCATTGACTGAGCCCCCCCCCCCCCCATCATCCACGCCCTGCTGAAGGTTCAGCGCCCCCCAGCGCCCCCCCCCTTTCTAAACTCTTAAAATATTTGTCAGCAGTGGCAGCCTCCTGTAAAGCACAGGGCACGAGAGCAGGATGCAGGATGGTCGCATCTTGGCCGCCGCCATAAACGTCCACGTGATGATGACATCAGCCACCTCGTATTCTTAGCTCTTTCGGTAAAGTCACGTTGAAGGGAAACAATAAAATAATAATATATATAAAACAATAAAAATGCTCACGACGTTTCGACCATAACACAAACGGTCGTCATCAGGTGTGTCGGTTTGCATTAATTTATTTATTTAAAAACGAACTGTTTATTTATTTAAAAACCCGTCAGCGCCACGCGCAGCGATTTGGCAGTTTATTTAGAAGGACTAGTCCATCTATGTTCTGAAAAGAGGAGGGGGGAGACGAAAAATTAATGTATGCTGTCTGAAAGCCACTGTAAGCGTCAACAATCAATTAAGACCTGAAATGGTTTATCAAATCTTTCCAATGATTGCTAAGCCAGAATCCATCTTCTCGGTTGAAATTGTCTCTGTGCTTGTATATGTGGATAGCCTCATGAACGAATCTCTCATGGTAGCCAGATGGCTAACAAAGAACCTCTGTCTTGGAAAAGTCAATGTCATGTGTGCCTACTGAATTATGAAAGTGATCTGCCACGTTTATAAATAAATAAATAAATGCGAACCGACACGCCTGATGACGACCGTTTGTGTTATGGTCGAAACGTCGTGAGAATTGTTATTGTTTCATATATATTTTATTATTTTATTGTTTCCCTTCAACGTGACTTTACCGAAAGAGCTAAGAATATGAATTACTGCAGTCACGAAAGCTTTAAATCAAAATCAGCCACCTCGTTGAGCACTCGTTTGTGAAAGCCAGGTTGCTTATTTTAAAATAGCCACATGGCTCGGTGGGCCTTACCTGGTAAAAATAAAAAAATAAAATCGTTTAGTTTAGCATCGTCACTCACTCGTGCTGTTCAGCGTTTAACGTTTGTTTTTATTTTGTTTGATTTTATTTTATTTCTAACTACGTGACTTTACCGAAAGAACCAAAGAGTACGCTTAACGTTTGTTTAAAGTTTACTTAACATTGACCGCCTCGTGCCCTCACAGAGTTATGCCCCCCCCCCCTCCCTACCATCCCGTCCTTTTTAAACAAAGGTCACGCTAATGGCTGACGCTGAGCCAGTGGTGCAAATTCCACATTGGCAGGGGCGAGTCTTTTCATTTCACAGCAAGCTATTGACATTCCCCCCCCACCACCTCCAACCCCCGCCCCCAAATTGGTACTTGTTTGATAGAACATTTTAATCGAACTCCCAATCTCGTGATTGTGAGCCTTTACTCTAATCCTGGGGCCGGCAACCTGCGGCTAAGGAACCGCATGCGGCTCGTTAAGGGCTGCCTTCGTGACTCTTATTTATTGAGGACCCAACCGTCTCTCGTATTCACCACACAGAGCACTGCGGCTCTTGAAATATTGGGACGGGGGGGTGTTACCGAATTCGAACAGAAATGGCTCTTCTTCTTGTTTCCATTACCGACCCCTGCTCAAAGCGCTGCGGAATCCGGCTAAGCCGATATATGCTGTCCTACTGGAGATATCGGCTCCAGTCTAAGAGCAGCACAGGAATCTACATATCCGTGGGTTCTCTTTTTTTAAACAAACGCTTTCGGATGTCGTGCCACGTGTGTCAAAGAGCGAGGAATTATGTTGACAATTACGAGGAGAGAAGTTGTTGTTGCTCCGCAACGGGACAGCTGTCATGTTCACGATGCTCTTTTCATAATCCATCCTGTACTCACAGGAACCTGATTTTTTTGACGTAATAGTATAATGGCAAGATAATATTCGTTGTGATGGGTTTTTTTAAAAAATGTATATTCGCTAGGCTTTAGAGAATATTCTGGTAACAGGAAGTGATTTGATAGGAGCACAAATTTGGAGAGTGAGAGCGATTTTAACTGAGCCGTGGTCAGTCTTCCGTATTCGTTACTTCCACCTCTTCGATGTCGCTATTTATCAGTATTATTATTCAACGTATTCTGAACTTCTTCTTTCGCCCTTTCAATCCAACACAATGTCTTGGTGGTGTCATCACGGGTGGCCGAAACTCGGAATCGAACCCAGCATCTCAGCTGCACAGGCCTCAGTGCTCTGACCTCGCATCCCCCGAGCCACTCCAGCCACTTCTAAAAGTCAAATTTTTTTTTTAAATATTAAAACAGATCTCTCTCGGACCCCCTAAGTCAGCCCGGCACCATCGCCATTTCTCATCACCTGTGTAATTGTAAACCCAGTGTATGCAGCGCTAGGGTTGAGTGGGTCCTGTGAATGTGCGCGCTTTGCTAGCGAGTTTGGCTCCGTCGTCTCACGTCGCCGCCCCCCCCCCACCAAACCCCCCTTCCGCCAGGTGCGCTTGATGGAGTCGGGGGATAGGCCGGCAGGGGACTCGAGCAACGAGCTCCCGGCCGAAGCCGCGGGTCAAGGGGCCCACGGGCCTGAGGTCACGGCAGAGGTCACGTTCGGGTCCCTCCTCCCGCAAGGGCCCATGGGGTTGCCGGGCCCCCAAGGTCAGAAGCGCCCGCGTACGCGCGCGGCGCGTGCCTTTGCGATGCGTGGCACCGTACGACGGCGGTGCAGTGGGTTACCGCGCTGTGCCACGGAGTTTGCCGACTGACTTCGATTCCTGACCACGGCTGACATCAATGGCGAGTGACATCTGAACCGGTCCTGGCCGTCAAGCAACTCGCTAACAGCACTTGCCCCATACAGTCTGTATGGATGTACAGTATATCGGGGTTCTTTGTCTCTGTGTCCATGTAGCAGTGGTGCGGTGGATAGAGCACCGTGCTGCGAACAATTCCACCTGGTCAGATAAGGTTTTGTATGTTCTGCCCCAAAAATTAACGCGTGGCGAGCTATGAACAAAGTTGTTAACTAATGTAAGACACGTGGTACATGCGTTCATTGATCCGTGGCGTGTCTTTGCTCGCGAACCCACAGGGCTACATGGGGAGAGGGGACCGGCCGGACAGCCCGGGAAGCAAGGTGAGAAAAGTTGACCGTAATTCATCAAACGTTCATTTTCGATGAAATTATTGACTAACCGAGCGTGTATTGAATAATATAATCGGGTATTTTCATAAACGTTATATGTAATTGGTTCGTGTGCGAGCCCTGAAACCACTAGGGGCCGCTACATTCACTATTGCAGTGTCGACCTGCCCCGCCATTCTGGGACTCCCATTCGTGATGTGGACTCCCTCCGTCCCTGTTCAAGTCCAGGCTTGAGGCCTATGTTTCCCCCTGTCGATGACTGTCTCTCTATCTTTCTGTGTAATAAATAATAAAGTATAAACATGGCCACTGTTTTGTACAGTATCCTGAGCGGCGGTCACATGTGACCAATATATAGCCTAGAGCTTTGACTGTTCGTCGATTAAGTTGATTCATTGATGTAAAATAGTTGTTAACTGATTTTTTTTCTTTATGGTCCCATATTGGAAATAGAGGGTCCTTTGCCTGTAAGATCGGCCAGTTCACCAGCATTGATTCAAGCGAGCCTGACTCTGCTGATGAGACACTGACTGTCGAAATCGGCCCAGAGTTTGCCCGTATTGAACCATTGCTGTTGAAATAAACGTGCACTCTCAAGAAGGCCGTGTGCGCGCTGATGGTTTGTAAAAAATATATATATATACATATACACTGTTTTGTTTTTCTTCACGCGGAGCGATGGCATAAGTGAAGGAGGCGTATTTGTTTGTCGTTGATTCATCGGATCCCTTTGAATAAAAGCGGTGGCTGCTCGCCACCTCCTCGCCGCTCGAAGGCAGGAAACCCCCGATGGTGCCACGGTCAGCTGATGATGCCGATGGTGTCACCAAGCCCCGGCCACCGTGGGGACATAATTTGTCCCCAACTTTTCTCGTGGTCATCCGATTGAATACAATTAGAGTAATCGATTACTCAAGTCATCGGATGGCTCAGCTATATTATCCTACGTCCAGTATAAGCTGACTAATATTGGATATGGGATGGGCTCGACACGTGCACAATAATTTAGGCGTTATCCCTTGGAGGTCGTGGTTCGTGCTGGCAGTGGTGGTGGTGGTGGGGTTGCAGGGTGGGTAGAGATGGTGGTTGAGTGAGTGGTGGTGGGGGAAGTGGATAGCCCACCAGACAGAGAGCAGTAAAAATCTCCTAACAATCCAGGAGTAGAGAACGGGTAGGGGAGAAGGGAACAAAGTAGTCTTGTAAAGCCGCCAGACATAGGCAAGTGGACCGAACCGAATTTCATTGCTCGGTGTCTCGGGCTGCCAGTTGCTGTAGTAAATCATCATCATCATTAGCGGAGGAATTCGTTTGTCCCGTTGGAATCACTGTTGAACGCACGCGCCCTGTCTGCCTGTCTCTCAGAAGGGCCTTCCGTGCATGCCACATTGAAGATGAACGCTTTATTTATTTTCACGGATTAATTTTGAAATTGCCTACACGTTGGGGGTTTCCTGGGTAAATTATTGGCCCGAGTGTGGCTATCAGCATCATTAGAAAGAGACTTGTTGGGAGGGGAAGGAAGAGTGCGATGGGGGTCGGGGTGGTGGGGAGAGGCGACGGTTCGCAGCACTGAGCTGCGAACCACAGTGATCCGAGTTTGATTCTCTGCCATGGCCAACGACAGTTAGCCAAATGTTTTGCCGCTGCTTTTTGTGTGTGTGTATTGAGTTTTTTGTCCTTCCCCCGGCACCTCCGATAAGCGCGAGCGGCTACGTAAGGGACGAAAGGAGTTCAACACACACACGTGATGCCTGAATTGGCTCCGACCACCACCTCCCCTCCCCCCCATCCACAGCCCTTCAACCTATCCACGCAAACAGCCCCGGTCACTATCAACACGATTCCGCGTCTCCCCGTGTCACACCGACCTAACCCTGGCCCTGGCTTTCAGGCCCTGTTGGACCGGCTGGACAACCAGGACCCCCAGGAATTCCCGGGAGACCTGGCACCGAAGGGGCCCGTGGAAAAGCAGGGGCCATGGGACCCACAGGCCAGTGTGTGGTCGTCCGTGCGTGCGTTTGCGTCTTGCTGTTTGTCTGTGTGGATGTTTACGTAACCCTGCTGGAGCGTTTTTCTGGTGTTGACCACGAGCCCCCCCCCCCCATCCCGCTCGGCGCGATGCCCGATGTTTCGTGCCGCACGCTAGAACTGAATCCGCTGCACACGCTAGAGGCTGAGCGCAAAGGTCGGACATCGCGCCGAACAGCGCTACAACACCTAAAACACACGGCGGAGAGCACCACGACCGTGAAACCGCACGCCACGGTCGTCCACACGTTTGAGTGTTTAACTTTTTGGCAGCCAGTTTGGTTGTTTGGATATTTGTTTGGCTGAGTGGATGCCTGTGCTCATGCTTGTTTGTGAGGCTGTTTTTGTTGACGTTTCTAAGCTTTTGTTTGGGTTTTGCTGTGCGAATGGTTTATTTTCGCAGCAGTTTACGTAATTCCTTGGGTCGCTTGGAAGCTTTTTAAAGGGCTGGTTTACGTTTTCGTCTTGATCATTGTTTGAATATTTATGGCCGTTATAAATGATCCCTATTGGTCTCTAAACACCTGGAATAACACGATAACTAATGCTCATGCTGCTGACAAGGAGGATGATGATGATGTTACTCACTCGGTCAGCAAGTAGTCCCAGAAAAGTTATTTATATTATACCAGTCTATAAAAGTGAAATATGGGCACATAAAATATACACCAAATGTCTTCATGTAGGCTACATTCTTTTAGAACGTTTAACTTTGGACAAAAAAAAAAACTTCACATAATTCAAATGTGAACCGCAACATTTACCCTGACGGAGACAAACTCAAAAGGTGAAATATGTGGGCGATGGAGTGTGGTCCTCAGCCAATGGTGGCCATTCCACATTACCGTGGCTCTGGCCATTCCATACATTCGACAACCAATATTGACTTCCCACAATTTGAAAACTCACCTGTGAACGCATCGTGCGCATTCCGGGACACTTGAGATGCACAACAGCAGCCGCCGATCGCCACTCAGTGGTGGTGACATTACCACCGATCGCCACTCAGTGGTGGTGACATTACCACCCGTGGTGCTTGCACCAGCCTCGGTACACTTTTAGACTGTCACGTGAAGTGTCGAAGGCTCTCTGGCGGGAAGTCGTGGGACGGACCCGCGTGTCAAGGGGTGAACATGTAATTGCACTTACACACAAACACGCGCGTATACCGCTCAGTACATAACATACGAACGTCTGCATAAACACAGCACACACAGAGAGAGCCACGTGCGAGTTTGCACGCGCCCGCCCACACACATGCGTACGCACATTTAGCGGTGCCAGGACCAGTTCTGTTTCCATTTAAGTGTTTGGACTGGACGGGACCTAAGGGAAGAGAGAAGAGAGTCGAGAGGGAAAGAGAAGAACACACAGAGACAAAGATCCTCCGTATAGCCTTAACAGACTGTGGGGCAAGTGCTGTTAGCGAGCACCTATGAGGGCTGGCAAGGCGAACGCATAATTCGCCCTCGTGATCGATGTATCTTATTATATAAATATAACCAGCCACGCCATTTGTGGCCATGTGACATCGCCCAATGGCTTGTGATGACAAGACACCAGCCGAGTGTTTATGAAGAGCGCCTTCTGTTTAGAAACTGGACATTACGAGGTGGCTGGGATGGCTGCGAAGATTGAGCAGCACCGAGACATTTTTTTTTGTTTTGAAGGAGGCGAAATGATTTACCAAGGGGCCGACAGCTCACAGTAAAACTCTCCACAGTAAGAGCAGTAGCAGCAGTAGCAAAGCGACTCACAACCTCCTCTATATATGTAGTGCCAGTGATTCGGAGACAAGGGTTTGCAGGAGGCACCTTCTTTATTTAACAAGTCCACACTTCAGAGGTTCGTCCTCGCAGTCTTCATAGTCGCCTTAGCCTAGCCTCAACACAACCCTCATCGTCTAACACCGATGGCGCTGACCGAGACGGCCAACAACTATCTGTCCCCGCAACATCTCGCGAAGACGGTAGCGACGACGAGACGAGTCCACTCCCAGAACCGGCAGCCCCGAGCTCCCTCTCTGGGCTCCTTTTATGCCACCCAGCGCGGCCTGGCTCCGCCCTGACCGCGCCTCCCTTCTCGAACCCGCTAGAAAGTTCCAGGGTCCTTCAGTCGTGCTCCTCCGTGACCCTTGCCCCAGTTCCTCCGCTCTGCCAACAGCGTGCACGCCCTCACGGGCGTGTGCGCTCTCCGTCAGCCGCAGTTGCCGCTGCTGTCCACCAGCCGGCGCTATTACTATACATGTATTCCAAGGGCCAGCACCGCCACTGCCACTCGTCGTTGCTCTCCGTGGAAGCCCTGCGTCTCTCTCCTGCCCCCTGTCTGCACCACAACCGCCTCCTCCTCGTCTTCTCTACACCAAGGGCCGGGTCCATGGTCACTGCCGGGCGTCGTTTCTCCGTGGCAAGCCCGGCCGTCTGGGACGCGGACATTATCACCGTCTGCCCGCTGCTGCTGAACATTCACAGCAGTAGCAGCAGCAGCAGCGTTCAATCCTTGAGACATCAGTGGAAGGCGCCTTACAAATAATTATTAATAGACTTTGCCTCAAAGTCCCCACCACTGCCCCCGGGATTTCAAGCGACACTGAGCTTGGCTCCGCATCCCCCGAGAATCGCGGTAATCTATGTCCGTCGAGTATATTGTGCGCGTCACAAATATCCGTACAATGATTTGATTTCCACAAGCTTTCTCCAACACAGACAGACGACGCTCTTGTTGTCTTGGGACTCTCCCCACCACACTGCTGATGAAGCCTCTGTTGCCTGGCCCGGAAAAACGAGGGCATACGATGGTGGAACAACGAATGGCACTTCTCTGTCCTTTTAATCCCAGTGTCTCACCCACCACCCTCTCTGTCTCTCAGTGTCTCCACTCTCTCTGTCTCTCAGTGTCTCCACTCTCTCTGTCTCTCAGTGTCTCCACCCTCTCTGTCTCTCAGTGTCTCCACCCTCTCTGTCTCTCAGTGTCTCCACTCTCTCTGTCTCTCAGTGTCTCCACCCTCTCTGTCTCTCAGTGTCTCCACTCTCTCTGTCTCTCAGTGTCTCCACTCTCTCTGTCTCTCAGTGTCTCCACCCTCTCTGTCTCTCAGTGTCTCCACCCTCTCTGTCTCTCAGTGTCTCCACTCTCTCTGTCTCTCAGTGTCTCCACCCTCTCTGTCTCTCAGTGTCTCCACTCTCTCTGTCTCTCAGTGTCTCCACCCTCTCTGTCTCTCAGTGTCTCCACCCTCTCAGTGTCTCCACCCTCTCTGTCTCCCAGTGTCTCCACCCTCTCTGTCTCTCAGTGTCTCCACCCTCTCTGTCTCTCAGTGTCTCCACCCTCTCTGTCTCTCAGTGTCTCCACCCTCTCTGTCTCTCAGTGTCTCCACCCTCTCTGTCTCTCAGTGTCTCCACCCTCTCTGTCTCCCAGTGTCTCCACCCTCTCTGTCTCTCAGTGTCTCCACCCTCTCTGTCTCTCAGTGTCTCCACCCTCTCTGTCTCTCAGTGTCTCCACCCTCTCTGTCTCTCAGTGTCTCCACCCTCTATGTCTCTCAGTGTCTCCACCCTCTCTGTCTCTCAGTGTCTCCACCCTCTCTGTCTCTCAGTGTCTCCACCCTCTCTGTCTCTCAGTGTCTCCACCCTCTCTGTCTCCAGTGTCTCCACCCTCTCTGTGTCTCCACTCTCTCTGTCTCTCAGTGTCTCCACTCTCTCTGTCTCTCAGTGTCTCCACCCTCTCTGTCTCTCAGTGTCTCCACCCTCTCTGTCTCTCAGTGTCTCCACCCTCTCTGTCTCTCAGTGTCTCCACCCTCTCTGTCTCTCAGTGTCTCCACCCTCTCTGTCTCTCAGTGTCTCCACCCTCTCTGTCTCTCAGTGTCTCCACCCTCTCTGTCCCTCCAGTGTCTCCACTCTCTCTGTCTCTCAGTGTCTCCACTCTCTCTGTCTCTCAGTGTCTCCACCCTCTCTGTCTCTCAGTGTCTCCACTCTCTCTGTCTCTCAGTGTCTCCACCCTCTCTGTCTCTCAGTGTCTCCACCCTCTCTGTCTCTCACTGTCTCCACCCTCTCTGTCTCTCAGTGTCTCTGCTTGGCTGTGATTTGTTATCTCCGACTCAATTCCATAATGCTTTCGTCTCACTTCTCTCTCTCTCTCCTCGCCCCCCGCACCTCCGATTATCACGCTTGGCTACATACGGTGCGAAAGAAGTTCAACATACAGTACATAAATCTACCACTCTCTCCGTCTCCGTGTCTCTCCTGTCTTCTTCTGCGTCTTCTCTCTATCTCTCTCTGGCACTGGGTCTCTTGATCAAAAAGTTCCTGATGAAGAGTCTTGACCCCTCCGACGTGAATCGTAATCCTCGCCATGAGCAGCGCAGATCCGAGACGGGCACTAAAGTGGTCGGCATTTATTACTATAAAAAACAACATGCAAATTATAATCAGGTGGGAAGATAGAGGTGGGGTCATGAGTTACAGAGTTTAGTAGAATGTGCTCCCTGCACCTCTCTCGCTCCGTCGAGCCTCACGTCAAACAAACTTGTGTCCGTCTTTGTTTGGCTGTCTGTTAATCCATACGTCTGTCTGTCTGTCTCGTCTCTGTCTGCTCTGTCCATGTACTATGATGTTTATTAGTCTTGTGTGTTGAGCCATCATTTAGTCTGTCCATCTGTCTATCACTGTGTCTGCCTGCCTGCTCACCTATCTGCCTGTCTGTCTGTGTATCCGTATCATGCCCATCTATTTGTCTCTCTGCATGTCCATCCGTTAGTCTGTCCATCTATAATTGTGTCCGTATGTACGTCTGCCTGTCCGTCTGTCTGTCTGTTTATCTTACCCGTCCATCTGCACAATGTCAGTCTGTCTGCCTGTACGTTTGAATGTCCACCTGTGTGTCCATCCACCTATCTGTATCTGCTGCCCTCTGGTTCTGTGTCCGCCTGCGCCGCGTACCTCGCTGGTCATCGCTCCGTGCATTATTCGCCGT